ATATACTTACTTACTATAGGAAAATGTAGAATATCTAATAACAATCAGAGATAGGTGTACCTATTCAAATGTATTGTCTTTTAATGATGACTTGCATAATATTATTTTAATATTTTTTCGTCATGTCGTCTCCTAATGGATTCTTTTTTTCTGTAACTGTTTACAGTCATTCGTTAAATATTCATATAAAAATTTATCACAATCACGCAGATTATTTGTTACTCTACTCTCAATGTATTAAGGTTTAAAATCAAGCGAATTTTGTCCGTTTTGTATAATCTGACATGCTGTTGACTGTACGTACATATTATAATAATTTAATAAAAACTTTATGTTCTATAGATAGACAATTATATGAAGAGATAGGTAAGTAGTCTAAAAATATACCTACAAAACTCCTATAATTATGACTAAACTTAACTATTTTATTAGTACGTATAAAGTCTAAGTATCAAGTATAAAGTCTCGGTTAATTATACAAAAAGGATACAAAATATAAACTAATTTTACATTTTTGTATTCAATTATACATTATGCGAACAAGCCGGTTTGATCTTAATATCTGATGGAGTGAAAAACAAAGGTCACCAGTAGGGTTGCCAACCATACTATATAATATAATATATTTCAGGTCTACGTCTATAAATACTTTAGCAAAAATATATAGTACGCAAAAATACTAATGCAAAAAACTATGCAACGAAAACAAAAAAAAACAATTCTTCATTTTATATAAAGATTGTAGTGCGTTTTCAGACAAAAATACTGGCCAAAAAGGCAGTACTTTAAAAAATACCAATATGTATTACCAAAATGTAAAGTAATTTCATTCCTGTTCTCTTTCCGTCAGTTCTACATTACTTTATTTTATGTTAATAAATCGAAGTATCGAAAAAAAAACTGAGCTAGTATTTGATTATTAAAAATGAACTTTTAATTAATGTTATCTTATTAGCTACTTAAGACAAAAAATATGTCATTATTTAACAAATATGTTTTTTTATGTATATTGTTTTAGTTTTTCATGAAGTCAATCATATTCATATTTTTTATATATTAGTTATTTATTCAGGCAAAAATGGTTTAACGGATTTGGATGAAATATAGGCTATTTTATGCAGGCAGTTAACTGGTACTTATAATTATTGTGAAACACAGAGTTGCGACCTATGTTGTTCTATAGTTATTTATGACTTTACTTTATTTTTATAGTTTATTCTGAAAAATATTATATTTCGCTGAAGAAATGTTGGCAACCCTAGTCACCAGACAATATACAATTATTTAATTATCCAAACAAGTGTTTAATACAATTATGATAATATATACATTTTTAATTCCATAATTTTATAGTCCATAGTTTTGTAAACTAAATGTAATTTTGCCAAACATAATTGAAAAACAAATCTGTCGAATATTACATTAAGGTACAGTATCTTAACGTAATATTCGACAAATTTGTTAAATAAGGCCCACCCACCGTTTTCAATGATTAAGTATTTTAAAATAAACATTTATTCCCGAAATCAAACTAGATGTCGCTACTGTACTTTTTTTTCCATGAAAACCCTTCCGGTTTACTTTCACGTATAAAAGTAAATTAATTTTCAAAACTCAATAAACAACTCATATTCTATTTGTACTTTTTCGTATTTGTATTTTTATGTAAGTTTCAAACTTACAACATTTCAGTTCTTTAATATGTTAATTAAAAGTAACGGAAAAGACTATCTTTGGCCCATTCGTTTCCTGCAAAAATCAACTTTTGCTAGAATCACCATCTAGTGAGGTGCTTTTTAGTGCTTTCTTTTTTCTTAAAATACTTCCTCATTGCCTTAGTGCTAAAAGCCAACTTGAACACGTATCAGTAACGACATAAGAATGCAATTTAAACCTTTTTCAATGGGGTTTTGCATATCAGCGGTCAAACATTATTTTTTTTAACAATAGCAATAGTATTGACCTTTCACAAGGCCTAATGGCGACAATATCTCATGTCGGAAAAGACAGGTATCATACACATATTTTTTCTAAAACAATTAGTTACTTTAATGCTTTTTAAAATTATAGATATGACAAATTAAATTTTCAATAACAGCCAAAACCGGCGGCTCTATCACATAACTGAATCCAGTCATAAATTGCTCTAGAGTAGAGGATCAATCCTGATTCGTTTGATTTTTATTTTAACGCTGGGGAAATAAACCTTAAGCCTCAAATCAGAGCACTCCAATCACTGGAATTTGCACGAAAGAGGCAAACTCAAAGCGTGGTTGGCCTACTCGATAAAAGTCGCCGCGCTGTAACCACGTAGATAGATGTATTCGATATTCTACGAGGAGGGCCCGAGTAATTAAAGCAAGGCCGGGTATCCGATTTCTTCCCGATCCGGAATGACATAAAAAACCCAGATGAGTATCTTGTGCACTTGTCTGTTTTTTCCGGATCGAAGCGGTGTAGTTTAGTGCAGCTCTATTTGAAGCTACACATCACTTACACTAGGTACGATGAGATTTTTGGAACGACGATAATTGTTTGCTTATTCTACGTCCGAAGACGTAGATGACAGAAAAGATATTGGGTTCATCCCCTTATAAGTGAAAGGTACCTAAATGATTTTTTATTACTATAGGATAACTATTGACTACTATCAGATATAAAAAACTTATAGCTTAGATAATTGATAAGTATAAATAAATATTTGATAACAGAAGTATTCTAAAAGAAAAATAATTCTGTTCAAAGAAACTATACAACGCGTATAAAATAAAAGCTAGTTAGTAGGTATATATATAATTTAGCCATTTGATCTTACAATGATTATAGTTAAATCATGACATATAAAACTTAAAAAAAAAGGATGCCCGATTTAAATGCCACTCATCCGCTTACACGGCACTAATTTCGCTTTGTTTACAAAACGGCATCAACGATGGTTTACGTATGTAATCGCTTGAAGTTGTTTTTACAAAACTTCGAAGAAAAATTGCATGATTATAAATTTGAGCAACAAATACCAGAATATTATCAGTAATTTTATTCAAATGTCACAGATATTTTTAGCTATTGTATGTGAATAATGCTGTTTCTAAATTAGTAAGGGTGTAAGTATTTACATCTTATAGTAGTCATCCGATAGCAGTAAAAAAATGCTTTCGTCCTGCCTCAATTTATTGTGGTTTATGTAAAATGACCCTGTCAGTCATTATTAAGGTACCTTTCACTTATAAGGGGATGGAAACCCAATATTTTTTCCAAATTCCAAACCGGAAAAAATTGAACCTGAAAATTTAGTGTAGTGCACAACCGCCCTTACTATTTTATTTATACCGACGGACAAATACGTCATGGACCATTTACACTAGGCCAATAACCGAGACTATGTAGTAAACCATGTCCATTAAAATTAGAAATCGTTATATTTCATTGAATTAGCTTGATTATTGTCTCCTTTTAGCCGAGGCCAATACTGGCTTTTCCTAGACTGTCTCGGTAACTGGTCGTGTAAACGCCGTCGTAGGGCTCACCAGAAGACGGTGTCTCAATGATTCCTCATTTAGTTCCCACGATCCGGCTGACGAGAGAGGGAAATTTGCACAAACAAACCTCAGACGAGTGCCTTGGTTGGTGGTTTTGAGCGGTCAAAACTGTCGTTTTGGACGCAGGTTTGGATTATATGCAGTTAATTTCATTTACACTACAGATTTTTTTTCCATTTTTTAACACTTTTATAAGGCGAAGTTTTTTATAAACTTTCCTTTCTTGGTTAAGTTTTATTCGAGCAATATACCTACATATAATAATTTATATAACTATCAATCGGTTTCCAAATAGAGATAAAGACAAAATCTCAACTATTACAATCTCAACGATTATTCTCAATAACTTGAGTTTTTTACGTTGTACATGGCAAAAAATCCTAGTTTTATCAAACTGCTATGAATTGATCATTAAAAAAAAATCAGAAAAGAAAACCTGTTTATGTGACGTTTAAAATGGTTTATGTTTAACTTTAAATTCTGAATTCAGTTACCGGGTGTATAACTAGCGCGCAGTTGCACAAATGCCTATTCATGTTTAATGACGACATTAAGCACTAATGAATGTTTTTAATATGAAAACATATATCGGTAACGTCGCTTTAAAATTTGATTGAACGTTTGTGCAAATGGGTATTAAATAAATACGAGTATAATTGTTTTGAACTATAATTTTCTACTTCACATAAACGCAAATTATCTAATTACTTAAAGCTTGATAGTAGTCAGTTCGAGTTTTGCAAGGACATTATTTTGACACTGACCTTTAACAACACAAATTAGTAACCAAGATTATATAATATTCTACGTATCTACGTACTAATAATATACATGTTACAGCCAACTAGTTAAATCAGCCGTTCAATTGGGCGACTAGCCATTTAATTTCATGCCTAGTTTTCTAGCTGATTCAGTATGAAATTTGCACCGTTCATTTAGTTTTGTTGTCTGTTAAAAAAATAACCTTGAAACTTAAGACAATCGCGAAGCGTAACCTTAGCTTCATATAAATATCATCGATTAAAATAATTCAGTTACATGCAATATTAAAAAATAAATAGACGCCATTCAATAAAAGAACTAACCGCCCAATTGGATTTAACCTCTTGGCTGCGACATAAATCTAACTTATTACATATGCAATAATTATATTCGACCTTATCTTATCATTGACTATCTATAAATTATAATATAAATATATATTTAGAAAATTCAATGCTTCTATTATAATATTTTTTTTGTGGTATCCATAATCTGTGCTTTGATGTCATGGAAATATAAATAAAATTCTTAGATAAAAATCATCGATTCAATTAATTCAGTCATACGCGACATTAAAAAATAAGACGGCCTATTAAATTAAAATAAAGGAATGTTCTTCTTTTGAATTGATATTCGTTGCAAACAAGGAAGTAATAAGGAACGCGCGCTATGTAGGCGAAAATACGAGTGTATACATTATCAGAAAAATGAAAGCAACTTTCTTAACCTTTCATAAATAAGAGTGTGGAAATCCTTGGCTAATATAAAGTCGAGGTGATTGAACGGACTAAACGGCACTTTATGGATGTCTATACAATTACCCAGCTCATTGTAGAGCTTGTCCACATCGGTCGGATGAGATAACCAATCAGCATCACTATAGATCAGTGAAACAGGACAAGTGATGTCTCCCAATCGATAATATGGCGGTTCCGGCACACCGAATCTCCGTACGTTTTCCGATACACCATGATCATAATATCTAAACTCTCCCGATACGTAACTTTGGGCGTAATGGATGAATTGCTTGGTCGCCGCTCCCGACGGAAAGTGTGAATACATCACTGGTAAATTGGTGACGTTGAGTTGTTCGAATCCAGCACCGGCTACCATGAACACTAGGTTGCTGCATAAAATCTCCGATGCAGGACCGACGCCGCACATCAACTGTTTCAAGGCACGTACCAGCGTGTTATCAGGGAGAAACTCGTGGAGACCGATGAGATTAGTGATACCCCCCAGAAGTCTGTTACTTGGTGCGAGCAATCGCACTATTGGAGATTTAACATGCGACATATAGGCCACAGGCGATAAAGCGACCATAAGAGAAATTTTTCTGTTGTATTCCGGTCTCGTCGACGCCATAACGAAGAAACTCGTGGTGCCTTGCGAATGTCCTATGTACTTAACCGAATCCTGACCGGTTACCTGCAAGACGTAATCGATCATTGCAGGCAGATCGTGATAGCCTATTTCGTGCCATGAAAAATCCCAAAAGGATGGGTCGGAAGGTGAGACTTCTCTGTGACGCCGGGAATATTTATTTCCTCGGGCGTTTCCTAACCATACGTCGTATCCTTCTTGTGACAAAAGGTAGGCCACTCCACTGTATGATCCCGCTAGGACGTAATCATCAGCGCTACCTAGTAAACCATGCATCAGGAACATTACGGAACCATTCCCGGGGATTCGGAATAATGTCAGTTCATATCCATCTTCTGTAACCGTTGCATGTCTCTCCACCGGGTATCCATATTTATGAATGAGACTCGGACAATCCAATTTTGTGTCTTCATTAAGCAAACCAGCATCGTATTCGGTTCTTATGCTGTCTGAAGAGTCTAGAACATTTTTGTCATTAAACAAATTCGGCACGATACCCAGAGGAGTTAGTGATCGGCCCGTGGAGACATCTCCCCCAGTCAACCCTCCCACGAGAAGATCGATTACATTTACAGTAGTCCTGGTCGCATACTGGACCACAGGTTGGTTCGCAATAATGCCTGTGAAGCCTCGCACAGTATTAGATAATGTCGGAAACAGGTAATCCGTTAATCCGCCGCGGCACGACGCGATCGCGATCGCTAATATTAACAGGTGCCCCTTATTCACCATGTTACACAAGCGAACTTTGGGTGTTTTTAGAGTGGACTGATCAGATCATATAATAAATACAACTCATTGGCCTTGAAAAGCACGTTTTTTTTTCATTCGATGTATGACGTTATGACAATTTTCCGCTTGTTTATAGGGTGGAGAATGGTGTATCGGTTGTCATCGTAGATCTTCAAATCACGGTGAACTTTTGACAAAAACAACACCGGCCAGTGCGTGCTCAACGCCCGCGTAATTGTAGAGTTCCGTAGATAGTCATTTTATATTTACTATTTATTTAACAGCAACGCCATATAAGTATTTTTCTATGAAATTTGCTTTGATTATATGGACAGTATATAATCATAGGGAATTTGTATGTAATACAAATTGAAAACTATTACTAGAGATTCTTTTTTTTCTATGCTCTTTTTGATCTTGTTCGAGAAAAATGTTTGTAAATAGATAATTAGTTTATACGCATCGATTTTATGGTAGTTTTAAGGACTTCTTTGGAATCCTTGAGTTGAAAATAAAGAAGGAAAGAGAAAGAGAGAGAGAGAACAGCAGAGAATAAAGAAGGAAAGGAAGCAAAGAGGTTTTAAAAGAACGGAAACAGAAAATGGGATAAGGAAGAAAGAAAGGCAGAAAGCATTCCATGATGACGGAAGGCGCACTGTTTGCAAGACGTTAACTAGATTGTACATGTGTTTATAATTTTTAAGATAAATCTTTATAAAATTAAAATATGAATAATAGTGTTTGTGATATACTGGGTGTTAGGGGAACGCTTCCGAAAACGAAAACCAGTGATAGAGTAAGTGATTCTGGATACATTGCAATGAAAAAATTATTACTTTATTTTTCTAAAAAAATATGTTATTTTTATTTTTTTTTCATTTTTAGCGATGTAAAATAAGTTAAGTATTACTATTTTTATCAATAAATTTGTCTATTTATTGATTTTCCATAAAAACGCAATGTAATTAAAACTATAAAAAATCAGCTGATCGGCGGTAGACGACCCCGAGAGTTCAATAACCTTTGGTACGTTCAAAGGGCACTTTCATTCTCTTTCCTTCACCACTGGTAGAATGAAAAGAGACAGAAGATACGAGTGAGAAATTTCAGCGACATCTAGCGACGAAAAGCTCTTAGTTCTCTACGTTGCTAGTTTAGGTACTCATTATCCTGTATTTTATTAAGAAAATGCAATGAAAACGCAATTACTAAAAGTAGTTTTAAAACGGCGTTTTGTTATTTTTCAAATTGTTATTTATTGATGATCATTCCCTTCACGCAATAACAATAAGTAAAAACGAGAGCGAAAATACTGCAGGCCAAGCGCGTAAACTTCTAGATACATCTAGCGGCAAATCGCGGCGGTTTTGATGATATAGCGAATGAGAATGATAGATGCAGCGCCATCTAGTAGTGTAAAGCAAAATCAATCGGTAGTGTTTCCGTGTTAAGGGGTGCCACTTTTTAATGAGTAAATATCGTTTTTGAATAACCTACTAGATAAAATGCATGTTCTTCTGGAAAACATTTGTTTCGACTAAACATTTCAAAACAGTTTAGTAACTCTAGTATTTACAAAATTTTAATCTTTGTAAATTTTTAAAAATAAAACTTACATTACATGATTTTGATAAGTGCACTTTTTTATTTATTTTTAAAATGTGAGCTTTATTTTAATGAGTTTTTTTACGTTAGCGCAGAAAAGTTTAAGACAAAAATCATTTGATTTTATTCAGAGCATGTAACTAATAACGATATCTTTTAACTCGCATAGTAATTTATTTAGGTTTTATAAAACACAAAAGGATCAGATAAATACATTTCATTAAAATGAGGGGAAGGTGTTAAATCATTTTTATTTCATCAAAATCTAAATGTATAAGAAACTTCATTTCTCCAGAAGTGTGTGTGTGTGTGACTTTATGAAAAACTATTGGGAGTCCCAATTGAATTTTTTCCCGATTCAATTTTAGCATAATTATTTCTCTTGTTTCAATTTGAAAACTATAAAAAAGCGGAATAGTTGTTTCTCTTAATAAATACTTACTTTCCATGACTAACCCAATAGTATAATCCTATCGGGTTATTTATGATTAAACGCGATGTTGAATTGTAAAACTTCACTTAGTACTTTTACGACAAACTTTATTTATAAATCTAAACACATAATTAATTACTATTAAAGTTGCTAAGTGAAATGAGTGGCAGCCCTAGATATCATTGCGAACTGCAGTGACCGGTGAGTGTGTTTATAAAAGATGCCCTTCACTTTTCCGGTCCGTCCGCTTCCGGTTTCTGAGACATGCTGCCGCTACACGTGCTGCCAGCTCAAATTTTTTCCCTTAATTGGGTAATTTTTTTACGGGATAAATCCCATAAAAATTGTATGATATTAAAGAAAGGTAAGCTATCTTTTAAATATCTATCTATCTTTTTAATATTTTTGATTACATGGTATTATTAAATTTTTTTTTAATTGAAGTTGATGTTATTGAAATGACATTAATCACTTTTAAAAATTTATTCGTATAACAATAAGTTAAGAGCGTCGCAAATAAGGTTGGTTAAGTTACGTTAGCCAATGTTCCTGCCAATCGGTTAACAAAAACGGTACCCGGATAATAATTTCTCTGTCTTACTTTTATTTATTAGGATACGGTGAAAACAATTATTAATGATGCACAACATTCTTTCAAACATTTTACTTATTTTGTCATAAAAATAATTTAGTATAGCGTACACTTTCAGACAATTTTCATTTGGTTTATTTCTGTATTATTAAAAATTACTTACGATATCAGTTCTTGTAATAATTCACAATGTTAAATCGTAAATTTGATCGAACACGTAATGCACAATCCATTCAATTGCAGATTTCATTTCTAAAACAATTTTGGGAATTTGGTGAAAAAAGTTGCAACACTCGAATATTCAGTAGGAAGAACCGAAGAACGAATGATCGCGGCTTCTTTGATATGAGCGAGGCATGAGGCCGACCAGTGGCAAAAGACTTTCCATCTCGGTTTGCGAATGCGTATTTTAAAGTTTATTTCGTTAAATTAGTTATCCTAGTTTTTAGTTGAGCGTGTTAGGTTTATTTTAAGTTTTATTAGACAATAAGTGCATCTCATCATGCCTAATGCGTATGTGTACAGTGCTCGTGAGTATGGGAACATGGTTATGTGTTTAGGAGAAGCACGTGGCAATGCTTCTCTAGCTTTGAGAATTTACCGGGAAAGATTTCCTAATGTGCATCATCCAGGACACTCTCGAACCATTACTGCTGCGTTTCAACGACTGTTGGAGAATCAATCGATCGTTCCGGTGGCGGTCGGCGGTGGGCGACCAATAGACATTGCAGCCGAGGAGCGTATTCTCGATGTGATCCAACGCAACCCCCGTTTGGGCACGAGGACTGCTGCGAAGTTACTGCAGCGGCCAAATGGGCCCTCAGTTTCGCATTGGACGGTGTACAAAGTTTTGCGAAGAAACAGAATGCGGCCTTACAAAATTCATAAAGTGCAAGCTTTGATACCCGAAGACCTACCCCGTCGTCGCACGTTGGTTGTTGGATCAACAACAGCGTCTTCCAGGATTTATTCAGCATGTTATCTGGACAGATGAATCTACATTCACAAGGAACGGCATGTGGAATAGACGAAATTCACATTTATGGTCTGAAACCAATCCACGTGCCATTCAAGAGACTGGCCACCAAACCCGATGGTCGGTCAACGTTTGGGCTGGCGTCTTCAACAATGTTATCTTTGGGCCGGTGTTTCTACCACAACGACTTGACGGAGCTGGGTATCTTAGGTTCATTAATGAGAGCCTTGATGAAATTCTTGAAGGCATATCATTAGCTGAGCTAAGAAGGTCTTGGTTTCAACACGATGGCGAACCGCCGCATGTGGTACGGCCGGTACGTGAGCGTCTCACTGAACTATTTGGTGACCGTTGGATCGGGCGATTAGGACCGCAAGCCTGGCCACCACGATCTCCTGATTTGACACCTTTGGACTTTTTTTGTGGGGGTGTGTTAAAGAAAAAGTGTTCAATAGAATTTGTGACAGTGCTGAGGAATTGTGAGTGCATTCGAGACAATAAGAACGAGTTGTATCGAGGACTCAACTCTCATGCCTCGACTTCACGAAGAGACGCGGCGACGGGCTCGAATTTGTGTTGAGATGAATTGGGCACAATTCGAGCCACACTTTGTTAGACCGCGGAGAACATGAACAGGTAAGTACGTTTTTGCATTAAAATAAAAATCATGATGTTAAGTTTAACTGGTTAAATTAATCGTTACTTATAATAAAATTAAAGGTTATTGTAATAAATTACTTTACGTAGTACGTAGTACTTACGATCGTCTCTGTGTGTGTTTGTGTGTGCTCGTTTATGCATGTGTGCAACTATCAAAAGCGCTCGCGCCGCGCGGTCGTTCACCCGTGTATTTGTACGTTTTACATTGCGTGCTTAGAAAATACGATTTCGTTAAATACTAATTATTCAAGTAAACAAATATTTTTGTAGGACTCCATTAATATGGTATATTAACCATGTTAAAGATTCGGAAGCGTTTTCCTAACACCTTGTATATATATAGATAACATCACATAGACCGTACATGCACATTGTTCTGTTCTTTCGAAAAAAAATATGGAATACATAATACGGAATATGCGTCTGATTAAAAAAAGGGTTAAATATATTTTATTACGATCGTCAGTGCTTTAGAATAAAGTCTATGTAAATATTATTCAACATTAGTTCGTTTTCGTCTTCAAAATAATTATTAAAAAGTGCAAAATAAATGCGGTAACTTCAAAATATTTAAACGCCATACTACTTGTCAGAGCGGATGTGACGAAAATGTACACGTATAGGGATGTCGTTGTTACAAAAAGTTAACATCGATGCAATAACATCAATGTATTATGTCGCAAAATAAACAACTGATTACAATTTAAATGACGTTTTAGGTTATTTTTATTTCT